ATAGTCTATAACCGAAGGTGCCTTAGTCCTAATTCACTGATTTTAAGTGCACAAAATTTGATCCCGCGCGTAGTGTTGGCTCTACCCTATCTCTCATCCTCAAATATATCGAACCATTCAATTACCTTTCTGGTCACTTCAAGGCACTGGATCCTTTCAATATTTACTATGTGTTCAAAAGATATCAATCAAAGATTCTCCATAGTTATATTGATCAACCTATAGTGGAGCAGAGCGACAGTAAATTCAAATAGGGTGTCCCTTCCTTCAACGACTGTATTTACCCCTGTGTGCTAAATTCAGTCACATTGTTGCCATTGGAAATCAAGATTATCACTATTAATCATGTAGGAAAGACCTTATTCTCTCTTAAATATAGTCTCAAAGTGTCTAGATAACCTTCTAATCAATAGCATCGACATGACGATGGAGGTGGGTGGCTTGGAGAATATGCGACGGAGTAAACCACCTTTATCTTTGGCGCTAGTCGACTTCTTATGGTCATTACGGGACCCGAGTGTGGCGGAACTAGGTTCTGAGAGAGGGACGATATGGTCGCCTGTTTGTAACGACCAAGCGCGAACTCGTGCGTCATCTCCGGCGGAAAGGAGGAAGGTGCACGGGTAATAAGGAAGCCCTGCAATGAAGTCGTTAGTGATATAGTTCTTAGAAGAGGATGCAAGCGGAGTGTGATCGGAAGAGACGCTCACCAAACTTATATGTATGTATAACCTCATATTACATTATGATAAGAATTTATCATTGAGTCGCTCACAATGACCGCTAGTCGCAGCCGAATCTTCGCCCGGAGAGCGAGCTGAGGCTGCGACGATGTAATATTGTAGACTAGACTAAGCGAACGTGGATTGAATGCCGCATCATTCAAGTCAATCATTATGCATATTCACACTCGTATGTCGTGATCTCAACCGACAGGGTCTTGCTGTAGTTGACCACCGCCGCCTTCCCCACCAACTAGATGCGCCCGGAGGGCGCCCCTAAATACTCGAGTAACGAAAAATTGAAATTTCATGATAGCTATCTTTAAGTTCATCTAGGAGTTGATTGAAGAAATCTCGACTTCATCGATGGTACCAGCCCCTGAAGCGAAGATTTCGTTTTACACCAAAAACCCCTATCTAAACGGCCGCATCCAGAGGGCACTGACGTTCATATCCACACCATAGTACTGAAATATGCGTACACAGACGTTGGTCAAGTTCCTTGAGGGCCATAAGTGACATATCTTGACATCTCCCGCTTAGTAGACGGCCCTGGAGAGCCTGGAGATCAATTTTGAAACGATTATTCTTAATTATCCACGGTCAGGTTCGCCCGGAGGACCCTTTCAATACTTTAGACCCTGGTGCAAAGCTGCCAACCTTAAGTTACCGTGCTGAGTTCCAATCTCGCTCTTTGTGATCGGGTATCTTCCGATAGGCCCACTTGTATCTTGACCACCTCCAGGCCCTACCCGTCATTTTCCATCCTTAATAGGGTGCACGCCCATATCAATTAAAGCAACCCTGGGCGCAACTGGTGGAAATTTGAACTAGGGTCACACCAGATGTGGCGCATCCAGGCCACCCAACGATAAAACTTCTCCTCTCCTATACCAGCTGCGTTTTATGAGCCCCAATCAAATAGGAGATATAGAAGGTTCCCCGAACAAGAGTATTAGTTCACGGATAACTGACTTAGACTAAGGTATTTTATAGATCATTGAATGCGTCTGCCGGCCCAAATGCAACTTCCAGATAAGAAATGACCAACTTATAAATCTGTGATCGATGGGAAGGTATGTGGAGATTTGACCTCCACATCAATCGGCGGTTGGCAAGTCTATTCGGAAAAGAGAAGTTGCGTTTGACGATTTGAGCCTTATCGGTATTGTCATGGAGGCTATATATACCTTCTTTTCCGCAAGGAATCTGGAGTCATCCTCCCCTCGCCCCAATCACCTTACCTTTATACCTCAGGATGGACGAAATAACTTCGAAGCTCTTCGATTCTCCTTTGAAGACATGCGCTGTATCACTCGCAGCAGCTTGTTTTGGCTACCTTACTGTGAAGGCACTGCAGAATATCACTTCCAAAAAGCAGAGTATGCATTCCTACCCACCGGGACCACCTAGGGACTTCCTTATTGGAGCCATGAGGAGCTTTCCAAAGGATTTTCCTGCTGATCGTTTTAATGAATGGGCAATGACCTACGGTATGTTATGGCCACCGACGACATATCCATGATACATTACTTATCAATCACCTATATAGGTGATATCGTCTATGCACCAGTGCCGGGAATAAAATCTGTCGTGCTGAATTCCTATGACCTCGCCCACGAGTTTCTCTCGAAGCGACCACATTCGACTGCCGGGCGATTCGTAAGTTATCTAGTGGGAGACCTGTAAGTCTGTTTCAAAATTGGGATCTAAGTATATGGATTCAACGCTAAAAGTTGATTTGGTGCTGACATTCTATGGTAGCATCGGCTGGAAATGGTTTTTGTCACTGATACCACTAGGTCCAAGCCATTCTGCTCAACGCAAAATGCTACGTAGAGTAATTGGTCCACAGAGGGTAGCAAGTCATGACCATCTTATCGATTCCGAAGTCGGAAACATGCTAGCATCGCTAGAAGACTTCGAAGGTAGTCCTATCGAAGCAGTTCACAAGTATATATATCATTCAAATGTGCAGCTCTGATGTCTAATCAATCTTTCGATGTGGAAATCAGATACATAGGACGTTTAATATCCAGAGTTACATACGGGAGCCGAATTTGGAACGAAATGGGAGAGGACTTGTCTCACTGGAATTTAGATGGGGTAAATAATGCCACTGAGGCTGCTTTTTCCTTATGGATGGTTGACATCTTCCATTTCTGTGAGTGTCGACGAGTTCGGTGTTTCGGTGTCAAACTAACATCTAAGTGGGAAAGTGCGTTTCATCCCGGACTGGGTTCCTGGGCTGCGTTTCAAGTAATGTCTCTCTTTTTTCAATAGACATAGCTAAATCGATCTTCCAGGCAATTGATTCGAGAGGGTCGAGAATTGTCTCGCAAGATTCGGTTTATACCCTATAAACGGAGTTTGGAGCTCTACGTACGGTCCTCATTGACTTCGGTTCGAATGCGCGCCTGAATATAGATTACAGAAATCGGGGATGCTTGATCATAGCATCATTAACGATGTATTGGAAGAGTTCGGTGATTGCGATGATGCTCGAGACGCGACAGCGATGTTATACAGCGGTTAGCATGGTTTTATACACTCTTTTACCATATACACTGATGATAATCACTCACGCCCTAAATTAAATAGCCGGAGCCGATACTGTACGTCATGCATTCACCCGAAATACTACCAATAACAGCTAAATTGGCAACTTAGACATCTTCTGGGCTTGTACACCTACTTTATGTCTTGTTCTTATTCCCAGAAGTTGCGCAGCGTGTATTCGAAGAGGTTCAAGGCGTAACACAAGGTCTCCGACTACCTCAACTTGCCGATCGCTCACAATTGCCATACACCGAAGCAGTTTGGAAGGAGGCAACTCGCTGGCGTCCTTTTCTACCACTTGGTACGTTATGAACTAAACTCTACATATATCCACTGATCTAATTTGCTAGGTCAACCTCATGTCAACAACCAGGACGAGATTGTGAGAGGGTACTTCATACCAAAAGGAACGGTTATCCATCAAAATACCTGGTCAGTCGCCCTGAAGATCTCTCCAAGCTTCGCCAACTAACGCCGTTCAGGATGATGATGAATGATCCCACAGTATGGGGAGACCCAGAAGTATTTCGGCCAGAACGCTTCTTGGAGCCCGATGCTTCGAAGAGACCAAACCCATTTTCGGCGCTTTTCGGCTGGGGCATGCGGTACGTCCCGCCATTAACTTAGTGTTCTTGGCAAATTAACTCGAAACAATCTAGAATATGCCCTGGCATGTATCTCGCTGATAGAGTGATATTCCATGCTGTGGCCACTGTTATTTCAGTTTACAAGATGGAACCATTGGAAGGTAGCAAGTTACCTACTCCTAGAAGCGTTCAGTATACACCCAAGT